ACCCTGCCTCGCACACAGTAGATGTGGACCAAGCATGCATCTGTTTATACCCCTGGAGGCTGGCACAGGGCACACCTGCAACTCACACACAGAGGAAGGGCTGGCACACCCAGGCAGAGTTTAATAGTGAGAAAGGAGCTGCCCTTGAAACCAGCACTGAGGTCAAGGACTGATACACTGTCAGCGATCCAGAAGCCTCTGCATATTCTTCCTTGATTCAATTCTCTCCCCCTCTCAAAGGTGAACACTTTCCTGACTTGTAATAATTTAATAAAATAATTTTAAATTAATAAGCGGGACCTTTTAAATTTTTACTAAAAGATAATTCCACTACACACATATCCCTAAATACCGTAATTCAGTTCTGCCTGTTTTCGGCCTTTAGAGAAATGGACACACTGTACATATTATTACGTGTCTCGCATCATTCACTTAACATTATGTTTGAAGATGATTGTACAGAGCTGCTGTAGATTGCTCATTCAACTTGCTAAGTAGTATGAATGTCCAGAATGGTGATATTCATTCCACTGTTGCCTGTTTCCGGTTTGGGACTGTTACAGATAATGCTGCTAGTGACATTTTTGCACAGATGTCTGCATGTGCCCTGACCATATGGGTCACCGGGCACACCTATCTTCAATTTGATTAAATACTGTTTTCTAAAGTGAGGCGGCTCAGGAGTCATCGTCCAGCCTTTTTCTGTGCACCACTACCATCTGGTGGCAGCCACAAGTATTGCAGAAAATAGAACAGAGGAAAGTGATTTAATCTGAATTCTAGGAGGCCACCTATTTGAACCTATTGTTTTAGTAGCAAAACTGCCAAGGATTTGGTGATATCCTAGTATTCGACCAGTTTTCATGGAAGCAGAGAATTATCTCCTGGTCCCTTTACACCTCCATACAGCATCTAGAATGGCACAAGCGTGCCCACCTGACAATCAACCAATGGTGCTTCGGGCCAACAATCCCAAATTCATGCCATAGGCCGCCAGAGTTTTTATTTGGAGCATGAGCTCTGAATTCTTTCATTCATTCCAGTATTTACTGAGATCCTGGCTTTATAGCTGGTTCCTGATAATTCACCCACTCCCCATCGCCCATCCCAAACAAGGGCAGCTCTGGCCTGCCCCATGCCCATCTCCCAGTGGTACTTCCTCCTAATACTGCCCGGACACCCACTGTGAGGCTAAGGTTCAACTTTCGTATCTTCTCCTATCATTCAATGATTCTTCTCCAGAAGGAAAGTATCTCTGGAGCAGAAAGGTAATAAGACATCATCCCCTCCCACCTCACTTCTCCGAGACAGGTAACTGTTTATCCTCCAAAGGGTCTGATGGGGAGGGTATAGCTCAAGTGGGGAGCGTCCTGGGTTCAATCCCCAGCACCTCCTCTAAAAATAAATAAATAGACATAATTACCTCCCCCCCACAAAAAAAGTAAATAAAATTTTTTTTAAAACGGTCTGGATACCAGTCCTTGGATGGAGGCCTATGGGACCCTTGCAGCTGCAGATGCTTTATTTCATTTAATTCTCTCAACAATTCTGTGAGGCAGGTACAGCTGCTGCCTGTAGTTAAGTCAGGAAATAAGGACTGGAATCCAGGCCTGCCTGACCCCAAAGCCCAGCTCTTACCAAATTCACTATGTCCCCTGCCAACAAACCAACACTGGTTTTGGTTCTGTCAAACCATGGCCATGGGCAATCGAACCGAGCAGTTATTCCAGAACCAGCCCTACTTAGGGCTGCAGCACCAAGTCATGGCCAGTCCTCTACACCTTCCCCTGCCCCTTCCATCCTCTTCCCCAGACCAAAAGGCCTGAGCATTTAGGACATAACAGAGATAAGCAAGGCACTCTGACCTCATGGAGATCACAATCTGACAGGCCACCAGAGATAAAAGACTCGGAGCTCCAAAGTGCAGACAGAATAAGCCCTGACGGTGTTTCTCATTGAGGACCACAGACATAAACAGAAACAGTAACAAAACACGTCTAAGCACTGCTGGGACTTTCCTTTTAAGTTATGCACAATAAATACAGGAGAAATTTAATCTGCAGAGGATCCCACTGAGGGAGTCAATGCTAAGAAAGTTGTTGCTCTTGCGATTGGGGACCTTGCTCTGGGGGAAAGGAGGAGAAAAAAGAGGAAAAGGCAGGAAATGTTAAACTGGTGATAACGATACTAACAATTCTAGACAAACTACCTTCACAGAGACAGAGACATGCACACACGCCTTTGCTCCCCACGACAGTCCTGCCAGGCAGGCAAGGAAGCGTGGCTTGGAGGGACAGGACTCATCCACAAGAACTGGCTATGAAGGGAAGTGGGGACCACAGACTTGGGGGCTTGGTCACCCAGGGGGTCACCCAGTCTGGAAGGCTGCCCAGGAGAGCAGGAACCCAGGCCCAGCCCTAGTCTCTCTCAAAGCTCCCAGCTCAGTGGCCTAGGATCTCAGAATGCTTCTGCCTTGGGAATGTTGCTTCCTGATCCTAGAAAACCTTGTCTCGGGTGACTGCTCTTTTTAGCAGTTTAGCTCCAGAGTCAGAAGTTTGAGTTGGAGGAGTTCTATTGCTCCCAGGTGGAGGTCTAGCCCCAGGTTTCTGCAGCGGCCACTATCACCATTCAGATGGCAGAAGCTGTGGAGCAGAGTTCCAAAAAGAGAGGAGATGGAGGACTGACAATGGAGAAAATCCTCAAGTGACCAATTTTTCACAATATTTATTCAGCATAATAATCTTCCAGAGGGGCAGACCTGCCCCCAGCCCAGCCTTGGAGGGTCTCACTCGGGCCCTCTCCACAGGTAAGAGTCCAGGGAGACATCGGAAGCCAATCCCCCTGCCCCCATACCCAGAGCCTGGGCCCTAAACCTGCTCCCACAGCTGCTTAGGCCTCTTCCCTGCATCCTGACGCCCAGGGGTGAACTCCGAGGGTGAACATTGTTGGTGCATACACTCCTACATACACTCCTAAGTCCAATGAGTGGCCACAGGGCAGGTGTTTGTGAAGCTATGAACAGAGCTGTGATGTCCACACGTGTGACGCCTGTTGTGGTAAGAGTTCCAGATACCACAAATTAGAGGCAGACCTGGAAGGTCTTTCCAAAATTTAAATCACACTTACCTATGATGTGTTCAGGAAAAAAGAAAAATTTGTTATTTGATTCTATCAAGGCTTTCAATCTAATTTCTAGGTTATAGCAGGAAATAAAGGGGATATAGGAACAAACTAAATGACACCATAAAGAGGCAACTAGACAATTTGGAAGGTGGGACATTCTGCAGAATAGGTGCGGATCCTTCAACAATTAGTGTTATGAAAAAAGAGTCTGTTAATAATTTAAAAAGATATGATATAATTTATGTTGTGACTTCCTTCCAAAAAGCACAACACGGAAAGGCGGAGGGCTGGTTAAAGAGTAGCTTCACAGTGGAGAAACCTGACACTACTTCATCCAGGTGACCAAGGTTAATATCAAGAGTGATAAATTGGGGGGAGGGTATAGCTCAGTGGCAGAGCTGCATGCTTAGCACGCACAAGGTCCTGGGTTCAATCTCCAGTACCTCCATTAAATAAAGAAATAAACCTAATTACCCACCCCCTGGCCAAAGCCATAATTAAAAAAAAACAGTGATAAGTCATGTTGACAGCAGAGACTCTTGATATGATGTAAATGAAAATGGCACTTTACCTCTGTGGTCATCCCCCTAAAATCCATATCCCAGTCTAATCATGAGAGAAACATCAGACAAGCCCCGAGGGAAAATCTACAAAATACCTGACCAGTACTCCTCAAAACTGCCAAGGTCATCCCCCTCCCCTCTAAAAGAGGGGAAAATTTAAGAAACTGGTACGGCCCAGAGGAGCCTAAGGAGACATGACAACTAAACATAAGGTGGGATCCTGGAGCAGTAAAAGGATGTTAAAACTAAGGAAATAAGAATAAAGTATGGACTGGAGTTAATAATAATAATGTATTGATATTGGTTTAATCATTTATTGGGCGGTTATCAGATTGACTGATTATTTTAATGGGGTACTGGGGATTGAACCCAGGACCCCGTGAATGCTAGGTGGTCTACCACTGAGCTGTACCTTCTCCCCCCATATTGGTTTATCAGTTGTAACACATGTACCATACTAATGTAAGATGTTAATAACAGGGAAACTGGACGTGGCATATATGGAAACTCTCTATACTATCTTTGTAATTTTTCTAAAACTATTCTAAAATACAAAGTTTGTTCGAAAGAAAGAAAGATAGATCTAAGGAACATAACAACCAGATTAAGTGCATGGATCCTGGGTTGGATCCTGGTGTACACAAAACAACAACAAAAAAGTCCTTTTGAGAACCATTAGAGAAATTTGCATAATTGGATATTTGGTGATTATTATTTAAGGTTTCATTCCCTGTGTAGATAAGATTATTTTCACTATGTAGAGAAATGCTATTTTTAAAAGATGCATGCTGAAGAAAAGAATATTTGCCCTCAGAACAGATTCCAAACTCCTTCTCAACGCCAAGATCTGAGCTCCTGTTAAACTCTGGTGCCATCTCTCCAGCATCTATAGCAATACCTTACTCACACAGTACATGCCCAATAAAAATCTGTCCAGTGAAAAATTCAATAGGTCTTGGACCACAACAACAAAAGGAGCCAAAATCCATTCCAAGTCACTTCTACTTCTCTGGATGTTAAAACATTAAGATAAAGATGTTTAAAAAGAGCACTCAAAACATTTTCCTCTCCAAGCGGCTTCAATCCATTCCCTCATTTATGATCTCATCTCTAAGCGGGAGGAAAGGCAGACATGCAGAGGGAGCCCTGGGCGGGAGTTCCAGACCCGAATTAAGCGAGCTGTGAACCGTGGAAGGGGCTCAGACAATCGCTACTGAGGGGCTGCCTAGGAGATTCCTTTTCCACCAACTCATTTCTTACTCATTTATCTCATTACAGCCCATGAGGCATCTAGGAGACCGGCCCGATCCTTACCAATAGCAAACTCCACCAGGGTTTCATTCTCCTCCGACAGGGAATCGAGGAATAAATCCAGGACCTGCAGCTGCCGCAGATACTGGTAGTTACTGGGGTCATAGGCAAAGTTGGCGAGGTTGGCCAGTACTTGCTCCTTGGCGTCTGCAGTGGAAAAGCGGCACTGGAGCCAGGTCCGGGGCGGTGGTCGCAGACGCCGCCCCGCCCACTGCCCCAACCCTGCCGCTCTCACCTTGGCTCTCCGTCTCCTGGAATTCCGTGACCAGCGCCTGCAGATATCCCAGCCGGCCGACGTGCGGGTCTACCTTCGGCTTCTGGGCCATGGTTGGGCAGCGGAGGGCCCCGGGGGGGCGGGCAGGAGAGTGTGGGAGGCGAGGCTGGAAAGCCGGGCGCGAACCTCACCTAGCCCTCCGCAGGTCCAGGGAGGGGCGAACAGGAGCGGTAAACAAGTTCCTTTCCGGGCTTCAGGTTCTGCAGTAAACTGCAGCTGAAACTGGGATGTGGGAAATGGGGTGGGGACTCAGGACCTCGTAAGAGTAGGGGTGAAAAACCCAAACTGGGGAGCGGGAGACCAGGACGCTGCTGCTACGTGCTGTAACGGGAAGGAGCGGCACCAGCCTGGTTTGAGTTTCGCCTGGGTCCGGACTTCCGGGGGAAGCCGCGCTTAGCCCCGCCCCGGAGGGCGGAAGGGGCGGGGCCGTCGTTGAGCTCTGCGTGCACGCGCTGCGCGCTTTTAGGCTCTTGGCTCAGGCTGGCGATCGTCTGCACCTGGACGTGGTGATGGATTGCTGCGGGTGCGTCGAAGAGCGCTTCTAGGGCCCTTAGAAGCTCAAAACTGACGGGGGACGCCCATGTAGGGGACTGTAGAGACTAAAGCACCTCCAGACACCCCTGCATTGAAGGGGCGCAACCCAGGCTCCTCGACCGAGGGACGCTCCCTGGAACGCGTGTGTCGGCTCCCTCTATTCCGCATGTGGATCCTTTGACGCTACCTTCTCGTCGACTTTTCCCAAAAGCCGGACGAATCTGGTACCCTCTGCTCCGCTACCCCGAGCAGTCTGCCACCTCTGGCCAGAAATCTCGGGAACTGGGTAATGTCCTAAGGTGTTTTGTCAGCCAGGTGGACAAGGAGCACAAAGGGCAGCACTGTCGGGTCCTAGAAGGAGCCCAGGTGTACCGCTTTGGCGGCTTTCTGGGTTGTGGAGCTCCACCCTATGCTGGTCAGGATCTGCTCTATACTCTCTCTAGAGGAATCTCAGGATCAGCTAAGTGTGGGTGCTGGCATCAGAACACCCCATCCTTCCTCATTTGTCCCCTCCTAAGGCTTCAGGGACCCTCATTCTTGAGGAGGAATTCCTAGAACCTGGTTTTGTGCTGAGGGCAGTGACCAGGTCTTATTCCTCCGATTCGTCCCTGGCACACAGTAGATGCTCAGTATTTGTTGAATGAATTCTGCCCAAGGATTATTGCCACTCTTGCCTGGAGGGCAGAGAAGGTCAAAGTCCCCTATGCTGAATGTTTACTGAAATCTTTTTTCCTTGAAAGAAACCAGTTTTGGGCAAGTGGGCCTAAAACAGGATGCACAGTGGAAACCCTTGTGGCTACTAGCAACAAAAGCATTCATCTATCCACTAGCCCGAACTCTCTCCTTTTTCACTCAATTAAGATGGAGAGGGAGACAAGACCTGGTAAAATGGGTTCAAGAATTCCCCCTTAGGTACACAAGCTATATAGATGGTGACCAAACACATGACAGGGCTGGGAGCAGTGAGGCAGCAGGGGTCTTCAGATTCAGACTGTTCAAACTGGAAGAGACTTTAGCTTATCTAGACCAAACTTCCCCTTTTTCAAGACCCAGAGATGGTGAACAATTTGCCCAAAGTCACACAGCAAATTGTGGCAGAGTCAAGCATGAATTTAGGTCTCTTCCCCAGAGAACGTGAAGCTCTTTGCTTCACCTCTGTACTACCTTCTTTGGCCATAAGGGGGCACTCACGGGTCCTGGAGAAGACAGTACATCCCCAAGGATGCTTACTCATGCCAGTGGCCCTGTGTTAGAGGAAAGCTGGAGTCCAGTCATGAAAATATAATCAATTCTCCTGATAAGGTTTTCTTGTTGAAGCCTGGTTGAGCTTGAATCAACAAACAAGGTCCTGGGACGGAACAGTCCTGAAGGGGAGTGGGAGGAAACTTACTCCAGACCTCTATTTTCTAGCTTCATTTATAATCAATTCTCCTGATAAGGTTTTCTTGTTGAAGCCTGGTTGAGCTTGAATCAACAAACAAGGTCCTGGGACGGAACAGTCCTGAAGGGGAGTGGGAGGAAACTTACTCCAGACCTCTATTTTCTAGCTTCATTAGTTCAGAGTTTATAATATGCTGCAGAAAATGTTTTTGTGTGGAGTTCAAACAAACTCTGTTTGTCTATCCCCTTGGTTGGTCAAGCAACCAAGGGACAAGCCTGGGCTAATGACAGCCAGCCCTCACGGGATGACCTCAGGGAAGGGACCAGCGAAAAGAGTGTGTGTGGTGGGGAGCTCTGACTTCCAGGCCAGACGCACGGGCCAACAGGGAGCAGCAATGGCTTGGCAGCTGGCCCAGCCAGCTACTTACCCCAAGGTTGACACCTTGGACACAGCAGGGAGAAACGGATGCCAGGAGAGGGGAGTGGAAGGGCTTCTGTGGCAAAAGCAGCTCCATTTTCACAGAGGTCCTCAGGCCCTGCCCAGCAGTCTTCCATCCCCTGGTCAGATGTCTGTCATCCTCCCACCCCAGCACCAGTCTTCCCAAGGAGGGAGGAGACGCTGGAGCAGGCCCTGCTAAGTGTGCAGGGGCCCCTCAGACTTCACTGATTCTGGGACCCAAGCCAGGGGCTCCCCTCCAGTTCTCTGCACAGACGCCAGGACGGGTACTCCACCCGACATTTAATCTGTCCCGGGCCTGCCTCCAGGCTAACCCCTCAGCCTGGCCCTCCACCACCACAGGCCATGACTCATTCTCTCACAAGGCCCTTCTTCCCCAGGTTCCAGTCAGTAGGAGGCTAGGCAAGGGAAGAAGCGGGTCAGGAGGGACTCAGAGGAGGGTTGAGCTCTTTGAAACTGTCTGGAGGGTGGGGAAGGACAAAGAGATAACATGGGGGGCACCCAGGCCAGACCTGAGGGTCCAGTGTGTTGACTGTAGCAGCAGCAGTAGCAGCCAGCCGAGCCAAGCTGGCCATGACAGACCCGAGATGGTCTGAGACCCACCTTCCTGGGCCCCAGGTACCATGGTACCCAAGGAAAAAATGTCAGGAGGACCCGCTCCTGGATTCTGCTAGTTGGAAGGAACCCTGAGTCTTTGGAAGCCAGCCCCTAAGGTCCCAGCTCCCAGCTGAGTCCCAGTGTGCAGAGCAGAGCCTCTGGTTCAGGCTTCCTGGGCAGCCCTTCACCCCGGCCCCTGGCGAAGCAGCCAGATCCCATTCCTGGGCAGAGGCAGTCGTCACTGACTTCAGGGCTCAGATGCTGCTCACATTTGTGAGTGACCCCAGGGATCAGACACTGGTCACGTACATGATCTCTGTGTGCAGCCGCTTCTCGGAACTGTCTGTGTCTTCCACAATGAGGGTCCCCTCTGGGGCAGCCTCCGTGACGGCTCCTTCTGCCTGCACCTGCCGGCTCTGCCTCTCCTTCTTCCTCAGGGCGCAGAAACTGCCACTCATGAAGAGGGCGGCTGAGACAAGGAAGAAACTTGACATATAGAAAACGTAGCTGAAATTGTTGGTGGTGTCCAGGAGGAGTCCTGAGGGACAGAGAGAAAAGAGAAAATTAGGCCACTGCCCAGGCTACCAGGCCTCCCCTGACTCTCTGATCCCTGCTAACTTGCGTGCTCAGCAAGAGCAGGGGTTTTATTTTTGTCTCTGCTGCATCCCCAGTACTAGGAACTGTGGCTGGCACCTAGTAGGCACTCAATAGGTATTTGTTGAATGAAAGGAAACACTAAACCAGCCCTGGTACCAGGCAGGAAGAGTCTTTGGGTCAGAAGGGCATTAAAGGGCATGTTTCCTCTACCCTTGGTGGCAGGAAGCCAAGGACTCAAGGGCCAGTGGAGTCTGGGATATCTGCTCAGCCACTCCCTGGGCCCATGATACTTCCTCCTGGATAGTTCTACCCCCTTGCTGGCTTGGAGAACTCCCTTGGAAACTGGGATTTCCAATGCCACACTCAGGAAGGTCTTAATGTAATAGCTGTGTTGTCTGTCGACTGCCCTCCACCCCCACGGGCTTCACAAACCTTCCCCTTTACTCTGAATGTCACACACTTAGTGGCCCAAGTCCACTCGTGTGGGTCTCTGCTTCCATATCTGTTCATTTCCCTCTGGGCACAAATCACCATTATGATCACTAAGATGCCTCTTTGCTTTAATCTCTTCAATCAAAAGGTAAGCCCTGAGGGGTGGGGACTAGCTCTCGATTCAGCCACACCCTCCCAGTGACTGGCACAGGTGTATGAATGGTTATGGCAGGTGTCCTTATCTGCATTTTGCAGATGACATGGCTCAGAGAAGGAAAATGACTTGCCCAGGTCCCACAGGCAGGAAGTGGGTGAACCAGGACGTTAATAACAGCAAACACATGCATAGCACTTACCATGTGCCAGGCTCTCTACTGAGCTCTTTGATATGACTTGTGATCATCACAACAATCCTATGAGGTAGATTCCATTATCATCCCCACTTTACTGATAAGACAACACAGACGTATGGAGAGGGAGACAAAGGTCTTGGGTAAGTCTGGTAGAAAAAGCCTTCTTTTTAACTGTTCGTACCCTGAGTGCCAGTTGGGAGAAAGGGTGAACTCAGTCCCCTGGGATGCTTGAGAAAATCCGATTCAAGTCTCTAACCCTGGAGATGCTGAATGGGGTCCAAATCTGTCCATACTGCTCCTATTTGCACCACCCTTCCCCGCAAACCCTACCCACCCAGGCCACACCTGGCCGCCCTTTCTTCCCAGGGCCTCACCAGCCAGTGGAGGGGAGATGAGGATGGAGATGCTTTCCAGGATGGTGAAGAGGCCCAGGGCACTGGGGAACCGATCCATGGGGACAATGTCCATGAGGACCTGGAAGAGGAGGGCACCAATGCCACTCATGGACACGCTGTACACCAGGCAGTAGCCCACCAGCACCCGGAAGTCGGCTGACACTGTGCACACTAGGTTGGTGAGCCCATTGAGCAGGGTTGCCAAGCTGAACAGGTACTTGCGGTGACTGGCAAAGTCCTGCCGGCCCGCCACCAGCCCAGCCATGGGCCGCAGAAAGATGTTGCTGAAGCCGATGATGGAGATGAGCAGGGCCGCCCTGTGCTCATCCACCCCATGCCACGTGGCGTAGGGCACCAGGAAGACATGCGGCAGTGGGAAACCCATGATCATCCACACGACTCCCAGCGTGTACACACGGTAGCCGGCGTTGTGAAGCAGGATGTCAAAGGCCAGGTGGCGCTGGATGGCCTGACCACAGGCTACCAGAAAGCCACGTGTGGGTCTCTTGGAAGGTGGAGGGAGGTCTTCTCTGATCTTGGGGGCCACACTGGTGACCACGGGCCTCAGGATGGCCCCGGGCCTCAGGATGGCCCCGCAGACGCAGCCGTGGAGCAAAACCCCACCAAAGATGAGGAAGGTGCCCCTCCAGCCGAGGTCCTCCAGAAGGTAACGGGAGAGCAGTGGCCAGAGCATGATGCCCAGGGAGACGCCCACTGAGGCCAGTGCATTGGCCAGCACCCGCCAGCGGGTGAAGTACAACCCCATCGCGGTGATGCTCGACTGAAAGCTGAAGCACATGCCCAGGCCTGTGGAAGGAGAGGCGAGACTAGCTCAGGGTGCACCCAGCACGGGGGTCCTGGGGTCATGTCCCAGGTCTGTCTTCCTTCCATTCTGGCCCAGACCCCAGGTCCCCAGGGATTTAAGATGGCATCAGCATGCTTCATCACCTCCCTAGAAGCATCCCACCTCCCTAGAAGCATCTGTCCTCCTGAGGCTGCCAGGGGCACACCTGTTCCCCTGGCACAGCACTTGGGGATCCTCAAAAACCTAAATCAGGTTAAGTCTCTCCCCTGCCTAACACCTTCCAAAGATTTCCCATCACATCCAGGAAAAAAAGCCAAAGTATTTACTAAGCCCTGGAAGACTCTGCATAGTCTGGCCCCTGGTCACCTCCTGGGTGCCATCTCAGGCCACTCTCCCTGTCACTCACCACAATCAAGCCACATCAGTTTCTCTTCCTCTGGACACTAAGCTGCCTGCTACCTTGGCATTGCAGTCAGTTGCCTTTCCCTCTGCCTGGAATATGCTTCCTGCAGACTCTCCTTTCTCGACTCAACCCAGATGCCACCTCCACACCCACTCTGCACCTGCCCTGCACCCTGTCTGCTCAAAGGCACATCCCTCCAGCAATTCCCCTCTCCTGTAGTCCATTTTCTCCTCTTGACTAGATCATTCTCCTTTGTTGTTATTTCTCCCATTAAAACAAACAAAACTTTGTCTCGACCCCAGTCTCTTCTGGGTCCCAGCCCATTTCTCTGCTCCTCTTCCATCAAAATGTCTTGGAAATACTGTTTATATTCACTGTCTCCAGTTTCCCTCCTCCTGTTCCTTTTTGAACCTATTTCAATCAGACTCATCCTCACCGCTGTTCCTGAATTCCTCTTCTCCAGGCTGCCAACCTCCATGTTGTCAAAGCCAAAGACAAGAGTCTGGTCCTCCTTGGTCTCATCCATCAGCAGCTTCACACAGTCCATCTCCCCCTCCTCCCAAGGAACTTTCCTCACTTCATTTCTCAAACCCCACTCTCTTGGTTCTCCTCCTACTCTCTGTTCCTTCTTCCTGCCCAGGCCACTAAGCACTGGAGCGTCCTGGGCCTCAGGCCTCAGTCCTCTTCAGCCATCCTCCCTCGTTCCCTCAGTGACAGGACAGTACCTCATGTCATCTCAAGACTCGAATACCAGGCATCTCATGATTCTCCATCAGCCTGCTCCAGCTCAGGGCCTGTTCTCTGAACCCGACTGGATACGTCCAAACCCGAGCTTCCCATCCCCCTGCATGCCTGCTTCCCTCCTAGTTTCCCCATCGTAGTTAGCAGCTACCCCATTCTTCCAGTGACTCAGGGCAAAAAACCTTGATGTCACCCTTTTCAGCTCTAGGAAACTTGGGTGGTCCTGGTCTCTTCTCTGCTCCTCATGTGCGATCCTGAACCCGACCACATCTCATCCATCATACCACGCTGGATTAAGGAACAACCACCTCCTGCCTGGGTGATGACCACACCCTGACCTGTCCTCCAGCTCCTAGCCCAGACCCCCAGGTGTCTTCTCAACACGGCAGCCAGAGCAGTGCTTCACAAACGGCGGCAGCTGGATGACGCCACTCACCCCTCTGCTTGAACCCCTCAAATGGCTTCCCATCCCACTGCACAACCTTTTAGGAACTAAACCCCTATCCAGCCTCCCCCTGACCCTTCGGACCCCTGTTCATGCCCCTCCATCCTATCGGCCGCCTTGCTGCTCCTTGAGCACTTCCGCGCCTTTGCCTTTGCTGTTCCCACTGCCTGAATGTTCTTCCCCAGAGAGTCTACAGGAAAACTCCCTCACCTCCATTAGCCTTCTGCCCAAATGTCACCTTCTCGGCAGGGCCTTCCCTGACCACCCTGTTGAAAGTAGCAACCTCCCCCAACCCTGCTTTTCCTGCTGCACTGGGTGTCCTGGTCATTCTACCTCCTGTTTAATCTCTGCCCACTCCCGCCCAGAGCCAGGACACTATCACATCAGCTGTCCGGTCTTCTCAGCCCCTTGTCATGATCAGAGATAATTCTTCTTTTTTATATGCTCATTGTTCCTCTGCCTCATGTGACTGTAAGCAGCCCCTGGAGATTAGGATCTCTGCGTGCCTGGCGCTTTGCAGTCTTGCACCCAGGACCGACCTAGTAGTTCTTGAAATGGAATGATAGTCACCTGTGATGAATCCTGCCGTGAGGTAGAGCTGGCTAAGGGTGCGACAGAAGGAGCTGGCCACCATGCCTAGGCTGGCCAGCGCACCCCCCAGCATCATCGTCACTCTGCAGCCAAAGCGTCCCACCAGGATGCTGCACAGGGGTCCTGTGGGGAGGAGGAGCCAGCAGGTGGCAGTGGAAAGAGAGGGGTCCGAGGGAGGGGAAAGAGAGGGTTTGGGAGGGGGTTCTAGCAGGAACTAGCAGGTGGCTTAAAGGGCACAAATATTTAATTTGACCCTGACAAAGATCCTCAGAGGTGCAGACTGAGGCCCTTCACTGCACTGACCTGAGGCCTCCTCCATCTGGATGAAGCATGATTGGCTTGTGACCTATTTGGGTGGGTGAGGGTCCCACAGCAGCTAAATCACAGTGAGCACCTCCAGGCCCTGCTCCCCGCTCCCCCTCCTCAAGAAGACTGGCCACAGCACTCCCTCTCCATTGCTCTGGCCTCTTGGGGTGCTCTGGAGAAAAGCAGGTGGGGTACATTCTCCCCTCCCCCATCCCCTCCAGCCACCACCGAAGACTTGTACCCAGATGTCCTGCCCCTGGTGGAGAGGGGCCTGTTCTCCTCCACAGCCCCCATCCCCAAACCTGAGCTGCTTTCTCATCAGTCCAGACCCAGAGTAGAAGCCAGCCAGTCCCATCCAGCTGCCACACCACACCTCACAGGGCCCCCCCTTGCCTAGAGCCCTGCCCCCAAGTACACATAATGAAGTTTCTCCAGAGTCACCCTCCCAGAGTGGAGCCAAAGGGACAGAGAAAATGTGTGTGTGCACAAGGCGTGAGTCTGCGTGATTGGGTGGAAAGAGGATGTGTAGGTGTGAGCCAGTAAGAGTATGGGAGTAACAGAGGAAGTGAGGGGCCCATCCTCAGAGGTAATCAGGGAGAGGCAGCTGTAGAGGGAGAGGCAAGGCGTTGAAGTGGACCTGACCGCTGACCCCGCCTTCATACTTTGGCCTGACTTTGGAAAGGTGACATTGGGGAAAGCCCTGAGTCACTGAGTTGGGGACAGGGCACTGGGACACAGGGTGCTACTCCTGCAGGGGCACTGCTTCTGCCCTGAGCTCACCCTACAACCTTGGCAAGGCCTTGCACTTTGTACTTGGCTTGCTTTCCCCATCGCTAAAATGTGAGGGGGTGGGGGGTACTTAGGATCAAGGATACTTTCAAGTTTAAAATTTCTGCGATACTCTGAATGAGCATGGGCTAAACGTATGTGTGTACATGAGACAGACAGACAGACCGGAGTCCCAGGCCGACTGAGATGCTGGCATGTCTGCTAGGTATGAGTCTAAAGCTGGCTGGGGAGTGGGGTCCACACTAGATGCCTGGCTTCTAGCCCCTGGACCATACCCCTCTCTGGCTGCAGGGAAGGAGCCCTCTGGGATTCACATTTTTGCCCAAAATTGCAGGCAAAAAAAAAAATTTATGTGGTCTGGGCCAGGCCTAGTCTTGCACATTGCCCTGAGCCTGGGCCCCAACCTGCAGGTTCAGGGGTCGTTCCAGCGAGGGTGGCTTCTATCCCAGTCTGACTTCCCTCGCAATTTGAGGGAAGGACCTGGAGTAATAAGCCAGCTGCTGGTGCCAGGTGGAGGGCAGGGCAGGAGGTAGCAGGGTTATGGCTCAGCTGAGACAAGCAAACACTATGCGTGGGGCGAGCCCTGCGGGCTATGAGATCTGGCTCCAGTTGACCAGGATCCCCCTGGAGGTCACTGCCTGCTGGGTCTCCCTGGAGAGCTCCCAGGAGCGGAGGGCAGACCCCTGAGCCCAAGGTTGTTATGGAGAACACTCTGGGCAGCCCCTGCCCCTCCCTTTTCCCGGGCTCAGGGTGAGGTGGTCACATTCCTGGAGAGTCAATCAGGAAATGAGGGGGGCCGCCTTCCCTCCATCTCCCCACCCCGGCAACACCCCCTCTGATTCCTGATGAGAGACAGGGCTCTTGCCCTGCCCTTATCTTGCACCCAGTGTCTTCCTTGAACCCCCCATTCCTGTCCTGAAACCCTGGAGATGAGGGTGTCCCAAACACTAATGCAGAGCTGCTTACAGTGCCCTAGCTCTCAGACCCTGCCAGGATCTGCAACCCCATGTGGGAGGTGAGCAGGATGGGATGCTGAGTGCTGCCCTCATATTGCAGAGGAAAACACTCAGGTGCAGAGAGATCACCCAGCGGGACCCCAAGCCACTCCTCCTCCAGTCTGTGCTGAGTGCTTGGCATTCCCACCGTCGGGATCCATCCTCCCGCGGTACTCAAGAGGACCAGCTTTACATCTCAGGGGCCTCTCCACCCTGGGCCCCTCCCCAGTTCATCCCAGCCCAGCCCAGCGGGATTCCAGGCAGGGGGACTGGCCCTGTTGAAATCAGATGAAATCTTAGGAATTCACTGGACAAGGCAAAACCAGTGGCCTCAGAGAGAGAGACCCAGGAGGCCAGGGAGGTTGTGGCTTCCTCTCCCACCCCAGGCTCCTTCTCACCCCTCCCAGGGTCACTCCCCAGGTTGCTCACCCCCTGCATGGAGCATGGCCGTCTGGATGGAGGGGAACCAGGAGGTCTCGCTGTTGCTGGCCTGGAACTCATGCTGCAGTTCGGTGAAGAAGATGCCGATGCACGTGGGGAAGCCCAGGGTGAGGCCCTGGGCCACCAGGCAGGCCAGCAGCACCACCCAGGACCAGCAGCCCTCCGCACGCTCCAGGGCCTGCGGCATCCTCGGCTACAAATGCTGCTGCCACAGCCTCACTGCCACCGCCACTGCCACTGCTGCCTGGGCCACCTGAGGAAGGGACAGAATGGAGCTGCCAGCACTCCCCTGGCCCACCTGCCACCTTCCCTAGGTGGTTGAAACTGTCCCTTCCTCTTGCCCCAGCACCAGGTATCACAGAGGGGCACCGCCCCCTGGGAGGTGGCCACATGCCCACGCGTTGGCCTTGGCATCTCCTTTCACCTACTTTCCAGATCAAGTCTGGCAGGAGGGACAGGAGGGGCAGGCAAGTGAGTGGAATTCTTTCCAGTTGTTACATCACTTAGTGGTCAGCAGATGGGACTTTCTAGCCACCCCCCAACCACCACCGCACACAGCAAGAACTCAATAATTGCTTGTAGAATGGAGCAGACGTCTAGAGTCAGCATAGTCCCAGTGCCCCTAGAAGCACACTCATACATTTTCAAATATTCGTAACTAGGCTTCCTGCTCACAAACACGGGCTTTCGCAATGTTGCATTTAACAGCCAGCTTCATTGTCAGTGCTGTCGTGAAGGCCACGGTGAGTGAGCCGGTGCTGGTGCAGCCAAGGAGGGTACACAGAACACTAAACCAGGGCAGCACACCAGCAGCTTTCAAGGAGAAGACACGGGTTTCATCCAAAGGCCCCCTGACATCACCCTACAGTGCTCCTTTCCCAAGGGGCTCACAGCCAAGAGGCAGGTTTCACAATCAGGCTGAATAATGACCTACCACCTGCGAGGGCTTCTCACACACATACAACACACACATACATACATAGTCACACATGAATGTATAGCAAGATACACACTCACACAGACAAGTGCAGACACACATACACAGATGTGTTCTTGCAGACACACCCAGAACCACCCAGGCACATGTGCAGACACACACAGTCATACTTTGACATGCATGGACATACAGACACACACTTACTCAGACAAGCCCAGAGACATACAAACAAATGCACACAGACACATGCTACACAGACATACGGACACACACAAACACACAGGGTCACACACTGTGTAGACACACAAACATTCTCACATTTTTGGCTCAGTCCTAACTCAGTTCCTCAACACCACCCAGGCCATACTCCCATCACAGAAGGTGCCTTAACCAGGCCTCGAAGCCCCAACCCCTCCCCAGATGCAGAGCCCTTCTCCAGTCCCCTCCGTCCTGTCCTGGCTCTCCCCAACTCCCTGGACCTCCAGGGCCCCAGACCTCACCCACACTGCAGGCTGCAGGCTGCTTTTGGTAGGCTGAAGGGCAGCCTGGGCCTTTGTGAAGCCAAAGGATCCCAGGAGCTCCAGTTCCCACAGCCTCCCTCCTTTTAGCCCCAGGTCCTGAAGATCCTTGGAAACTCAGGAAACTATCAGAAATATGAAACCCCTCTTCCTGCCAAGCCCAGCATCCCACACCTTCCCCCCAGGCCCAGAAGCTTTAACGAGGCACCTAAACTGGATCCACCCTAACTGCCTCCTTCACAGGCTCCAATGCCTTCTCTAGGCACAAGGCCTCCTCCCTCCCCAGAGGACCCCCTTCCTTCCCCTGAGCCCTGCCATGGTGAGTGGGCCATGCATCCTAGCCTCAGACTGTGTGTGCCTGCAAGCATGTGTGTGAGACCTTGAGTCCTGTGTGTGGGCTGGGAGCACCTCCTGCCCTCCAGGCTCCTGCACGTGACACTGGCCCTAGAGAGCCCCCAGCCCGGATCCTCCTGGCCCAGCCCCAAGCTTGGGGCAAACCTCAGATATGGGCTCCTCTAGCAAACTGGCTCTCTCTCGCCCCTTCCAGAATTTCTGTTCCTTCAGCAAATGGAAAGGCCACCGGTGCCACCTGATCCTCTCTGTGAGTGTCTCCCCCTCCTGCTCTGTGGCTCCCCCCTCCCCCCACCCCTCAGTCTTCCTGGACCGGCCACTTTCCCCTCTTCCTCCCAGAAGGGCCGCCAGCCTTCCTCCACTGCCCTCACTTCCTCCTGCTTGTCCCCTCTTGGCGCCCCACCCCTGGCACTCCCCAGCCCCAGAACCCTGCCAGTTTCTCTTCAGAGCAGCAGGCTGTCACTGATCAGAGGTGGCAGAGAGGGGAGATAGGAGAGGAGACACTTGGGGAGACCCCAGGCCCTGTCCCCAGCTCTCATCCCCTCCTTCACCCTTGACCTGCCCCTCTTTGGAGAAGATTTAGTGCCCTACTACTCTGAGCCTCCCCCTTTGTGAATTCTTTCCAGAATTCTGACCTTCGTTCCGCACCTACCTTCCCTCTGAACCTTTCAGTGGAGCTGACTCTTCATGGCTTGTCCTCCCTTCAGGCCACCAGGGACAATCAGAGCCCAGGAAACCCTAAGCACCTTTGTTCTCTTTGCCCCGGCCTCCCTCTGGAGCTGCCCTGCAGACTTCAGCCTTCCACCAGGAGGCTGTCCCCTCCCATACACCCCCAACTCCCAGGTCACACACATAGATTTTAGGTCCTGTTGATCCTCTGCCCAACCCCCCACCCCACCCCCAGCAAGCTGGTTCCTCCTTAGGAACTTGGCTGCTGAGATTCCAAAATCCTTACCCAGAAAGAAGTCGGGTTGGTCTTTCAAGTTTCAGCCCCGGCAGCACTTCCAGAAAGCTACCCTGACGCCCACCTCAGGCTGGGCTAGGCCCCTTCCTGTATTTCTCTCCTTAATAGTAGTTTTCACACTACATTGGAATGGATCCTTTCTGTGTTTATCACTGTCACCCCTGCTCCTCCTCCTCCCCTTCGAGACCAGGAGCAGGGACCTGTTCACCGCCCCCTCACCCCCCACCTCCAGTGGAGCACAAAGGCAATATTAACATTACCCACCTCTGCTCCCTGGGGGGTAGGCAAGCCCAGGACCAAGGATGACCTGGCTTCCTGGCAGGCAGGTCCATTCCAGAAGACTCAAGCAGTGCAGAGAAGAGATGGGGGCTCTGGTTCCACCTTGGCCCCAGCAGAGAAGCGGTCTTCCCTTTGTACCGAGAACCATGAGTCACGATCGCTGCCTAGTGCATGGTTGGGGCAAGGAGGGAAATACGGCTGGAGACTTTTCACTCTGGCAAGGGACCTCTTGCCCAGACTGAGGCCACCTTCATGCCCAGGTGGCCTGAAGCTGGGTTTGTGGGCTGGGAAAAAGTTCAGACGACATCTCTTGTCCTTCTCCCGTCACATACAGACTCCGGTCTGTTTCTAGGGCTTCCCCTCTGATGACAGAGGCCTAGCTAAGCCCTCAGGGTCAGTTCCTGGTCCCTCTGAGCTTGCAGGTGCAGGCAAAAGTGTGAGCGGAAGTTCTCCTGCAGGGGTTTGAGGTTAGGGGGCTGGTGTACAGAGTGGAGGGACAGCCTCCTCTCCCTCTTCTCCCTTTCCATGGTCCCAGTGAGAGGGAAGGAGGAACCAGCAGCCTCACCAGCAGTGAAAGAATGGAGAACCCCCTTCTCTCCCCAGGCTACACATCAGGAAAGATCCCGGGCCTGAAGCCCAGGACACAGGACAGGCAGCCGTAGGGTTCCCGCCACGCAGAAGAGCAGCAAGAGCCAGCTTGAGCTTGGGGCTGACAAGCCCTCCAGCCCTCCACCTGGCAGGGGCCCTGGAAGGAAGGAGGCGGTTCCAGAGGTGAGCCAGCTGGGGCAAGTCACCCTCCTTCCTCTCTGCCTCCAAACGTGTCCCAACAGTCCTGGAGGGGCCAGCTGACCACAGCCTGGAGGGGGATGGGATAGGCAACAGGAACTTAATGACCTCTGTCACCCTGGCTCAGTCCCTGCCTTCCGGATCCAGTTTCCACCCGGTTTCCTACCCTCCCCAAGATGGATCTCCTCTGGGTGAGGCTTCTGGGACGTCCAGGCAGTGCCCCCGTGGAGATTTCAGGCCAGGCTTTGGGTGGTGCCTGTCCCCTCACCCCTCAGGCCACGGGGGTCCCCAGCCATCCAGGCTGGGGAGGCCCAGGACCGGGATAGGAGGCTTTTCTCTCCTCCGACAGGCGGAAAGGGGCCCCGGAGGCCCACGGCAGGGCGGGTCTGCGACAGCGCTGACGGGAAGCCCGGCGGGGGAGGACGCC